TGGTAAAGTGCTGTGCTTAATTATGGACTCAAGCATCTAATTTGTCAGTCATTGGTGCTATTTGAAACCCTCTTTCTTGTTTTTACCATCATTCCACTGTTTGCACTTGGGTTACGGAAGGCCTTGTGTCCTTGGACACATCCAGGCGGTGCTGTCACTTTGGAGTACAAAGCAGGACAGAGAGGCATAATTAAACCTATATGTAACCACTCAGGAAAATGTATTATCATAAGCCACTTGGATACTGAGAATTCTTTATCCACAAGTTGATAAATTATAATCAGTCACAATCTGAAGAGATCAATTTAATGAGACTCTATTAATGTTAACACCGTGTGTGTGGTCCTGTGAGTTGATTAGAAGGGTGTGATGGGGTGCAAGAGTTTTACTTCATTAGAAATCTGGGTTTTGGGCGCCTGGGTGGCTCAGATGGTTAAGCGTCTGCCTTCGGCTCAGGTCATGATCCCAGGGTCCTGGGATCGAGTCCCGCATCGGGCTCTCTGCTCCTTGGGAGCCTGCTTCTCCCTCTGCCTCTCTCTCTGTCTCTCATGAATAAATAAATATTTAAAAAAAAAAAAAAGAAAGAAAAGAAATCTGGGTTTTGTGGGTAAGTCTCTTCTCCCTTTTGCCCTGGTATAAGAATGCTTCTGGAAAATGAGGAACTGATTCTGATCTTGGACCATCTCTTCCTAAATGTCCGTTCCGTTCAGTTCAGTGTTGTCATTGCAGTGAAATGCATTGCATATCAATGAAAAGCTGGTGTTGTTAAGTGGAGTCTTGTGGACTATGGAGGTATTGTCTTTCTGGCTGATGATCATGACTTTTTCAGTTGCTGCATTTTTCATAGAATCAAAAAGCCCTGGTGTTTTATTTCTGCAGAGGGAAGTCATAGGGAGCTCCAGAGAACATTTACTATCAGTTACTTTAAAAACATTTAGTTATTTCTTGGCTAAATTTACAAAAATGTAGGGGAAAAGAATCTACTGAAATTAACACGAAAAGGTTTAGACATTTCCTTTCTCACAGTGACCAGAACATTCTTGAAAATTCTTACATTCCACAGAACTGAAAAATCTCACAGCAACTGAAAGCTGTGTTAATGTTAGTCCTCTAAGCCTATTTAGCATTAGTATCCAGATGTCGGAGGCTTGTTAAGACTAAAAGAAAGTAGATAGATCTTAGTTTCTCAAAAGAGAGGAAAAGCCTATTGATCTTGCACTAACTCTTCAGTGGCCTCAGCAACCCTTAAAACAAGAGTGGGTGGTGGGGGATGGAGAGTCAAGAAGTCAGCATGCTGGCTTCCTGTGTGAGCCAATTTGGGGGCGTCCCCCTTTTCAAAGTGGCAGGACAGCTCATGGCCCAGCTTGAGTAGTGACCAGCCACAGGCTCTCTCTGGCAGAAGTGGACTGCCAGGCAGGTGGCACCCCCTGCTCCCTGAACAAGGTCTGTTCTCAAACAATATTTGTGTGATGGTATCCATTTGAGTGCTTGAAAAGAAGAGTAAGTCATCAGAATAAGGGCTAATTCTGAAAATTCTTTTGCCTGCCATACATATACATCTAGCGTCGTAGAAACATTTGGGTGGCATTCCATCAGTTTCTGTTTGTGTGTTCTATGTGTGTGAACAGACAGAAAACAAAGCCACTATTGAGTTATATAAATGCAAAAGAGGGATGGGAGTGAATGCTGGCCTTCTGGAAATGCTATTTTTTCACTTTGGGATAACTCCAGTAACCAAGTAGAATTTTCTGATACATTTGCCAAATAAAAGAGCTGAGGTTGAGAACTAGCATGAGATATTTTAAATTAATATACGTTTTGGAGAGCAGAGTAAGAAAAGTAAGCTCTAAATACAAATGTAGAAGTCACATTTTGACTTTTCCTATGGAATCAGTTGTCACTTCCTCACAGAAACACAAACATTTGAATATTTACGTTTAATTCACTGGCATTACTGGTTCAGCCTGAAGAGAGTTAGAAGATGTTCTGTATTACAAGCCTATAAAAGCCAAATTCTTAAGGCAGAAAGGAGTATGGTATCTTAGTTACCTTGGGATCCACGCTGCTCCTTAAACCCTACCTAGTTTTCTCTGTAACTTACTTCTCCTATTCCTCCTCCACTCCAGCCCCCTTCCGATTATTTCAGAATAAATAGAGATTTGGGATATGTCTTAATGGAAAAGAATAAAGGGAGGTCTATTTTATGGTACCCAGATAAGTGTCTTGATCTCTCTTTTACCAAAACATGTTATCCAAAGTAGGCATGAGCTGGTGTTCCAGGAGCCCAGCAGTCCCTGACGCCACCGGGGTTGCCCCACCCATACCCCTTTCCTGAGCCTGTATCCTCCTGAGAGTACCAGCTGTGTAGCTAGTATTTCTCTGAGTCTGTGTAGCAATAACAAGATTGGTGATAATAACCGGAGGAACTTAGAGACTCTGCCTCTTCCTAGCCTCTCATCCCATCTCCCCAGCACCTGGCATCTGATGCCACATTGGATGGTACCTAGAGGAGCCATTATCAGAAGTTCTCTTGCCATGATATGTCAGAGTGATGATATATTCAGGGGTTTCTGACTGTAATTCCATCATCCCTTTTTCTCACATTTAAGGAAGAATATTGACTTTGAATCTGTTCTAATTGCTTTTAGTATAATATTCACAAATTTTGGCACTTTGTTATTAGCGACCAGCTGCTTTCCAACTGATTGTAGACCCACCATGGCTGAGAACCCCTGGCTTGGGCATCTGATGTCACTATGGGTCCTTACTCTGAACCCACCTACTGTTCTTCATTTTCTGCACTGCTCATAGGGGTTCTCCTTCATTCAGCAAACATGTTTTAAGCAACCAGAGATGTAAAGGGAAATAAGGCTCTCTGTGCTGCCCCTTAAGTTAAGAGCGAATCTAGTTGAGAAGATAGACACACATAAAACTAACCATGCTCAAGGATGTGCTATAGTGGTGCAAAGAACAGATCATGTGGGACTCCAGGAGGTTCTGATTCATCTAGGAAATCAGGGATCTGATGTTGGAATTAGGCCTCAGAGAAAAAGGATTTTATGTCAGAAAGGGGGGAAAGAGGTAGAGAGGACACGATGAGTAAAAGTATGCATATGGTAGCTGAGTCTGAGAACAAGGGCGTACTGAATGTGTCCAGAATGTAGGGTGCAGGGAAGCCGGCAAAGAGCATAGAAAGAAGGAAGCGCTTGGACAGCATGGTCCAAGGCCTGGAAGAGGGGGCCAGGGATTCGGGCCTCTATTCTGTAGGCGAAGGGAAGGTGTGCAGAGCACATTAGTAGTCTGATGAGTCGGCCAGGTGGAGACTGGAGGGATGGGGTGGACAGAGCCTAGAAATCAGAAGACCAGTTAGAGCACAGCTGTGCTGATCCAGGCCAGAGATGGGGGAGTTGGGAGGACAATCAGCAGGTTGAAGATCAGTTATCTTCTTAGTCTTTGTGTTGTGAAGACCAGCCCCAGGGTGCCTGACACATTGTACTCATTAAAAGTTGAACTTAATTAGACCAATTGAAGTGGAAGATGAGGCAGCAGGGAGGGGGAAAGGATGGATTCAAGGTGTTTAGCTTGAGGTAACAAATATGGGGCGGGGGGTGGGGGACAGGTTTGGAGGAATGGCAAAGCAAGCCTGTTAGGTTTGACGAGGTGTAATCTGAGCTGCGGTTGAGGGTGTTGGGTAGAGATGTCTAGGAGACAGAGGGAGAGTCTAGGCTTGTCGCGGAGCAGAGAGATCTGGATTCTCAAGTCTTGGGCATAGATAGATTTGGGAGTCATACTCTCAGCATCCGTCCTTATTCTTGCTGTTAGAAAAGCTGCTCGTTGTGATTCTGTTCTCCCTTCTGTCACCTTCCTGCGCCTGAAACCCCATCCTGCCCTGCTACAGAAGGCGCATAGCTGCACTGTTAGAAAATGCTGTAGTTCAGTGCATCGAGTTCTGTCCCCAGGCTTCGGAACTTTGGTTTGAGTAAAAGATGTCTTTCCCTGCAAAAGCGTCCGGCCGTGCAGACGCACTGCAAGCTGTCCTAGGAAGGAGAGAAAAGCCGGCCTTCTCTAGGGGACAGCAGCTGCTTAGCCCAGAGCAGCGGATTCACAGTCAGGAGCCTGGCTCACTGAACGAGTGCCTTAGATTCTGCTTCCTCAGCTGTCCCACGGAAATGACTTCCCTGCTACAGGAGTCGAAGGCTTGGTGCCAGCTTTCGCTTCTGAGCTAAAATCTTCGTAGTAAGAGGGACGTCACACCCAGTCACAGTGACCAGCATCACTTACTGATGTCCCTGGGGTTGTCCTGTTGTCTACTAGAACAGAGGAGGTAAAGGACAAAATCTGTGTCCCGATGACAGAGCTCTGGTTTCTGTCCCCAGAATCTGGGGAGCACACCTCTACTATGACGTTATGTAAGTTCACTAATGCCAATTAAATTCAGTAACTGACATTCTAGGCGTTTTTTTATGGAAATTTTTAGATGGTAGATGCTATACGATCAATCACGTTTATAAATACTAAATAGCAAAATCTGAATATTCATTCCAGACTTTGAGTAATAAAATTGGAAAACAAAGACACATACAGAGAATGCACTCATCTCACTGTGGTCATGCACTCTGGGAGAACCAGTGTGCAAAATTGGAATTAATTGCTATGTTAATGTCACCGGGGTTCAGTTATCCTCTGCACTGCCATACTAGGAAACTGCATAAGCAATTCAGCCCATTGAATTTTGGCAGCTTTTGGAAACATACGTGTTTTTTTTTCCCCCCTTTTATTTTTTGATATCCCCTATCTCCATCCCCTTCAAGGCCATTCTCCAGCTGTTCCCTTAGGGAGTCGTTTTATGGGGAAGTTTCTTTTGTAGGCTTCTAGCTGGCTTCATTTTCACTACCTCCACGAAGTGGCTTTCTTTGTCGCGTTTATATGATATTAACCATCATGCACTGCCTCGGGACTTCCCCTTGGATTGACTTCATATTTTTGGTTTGTGCTCACAGGCTGTCTCCCGGTTCAGACATCTACGTGACGGTCTCATCCATGGCTCTAGCAAGGTCCCAGCAGTGTCGTAACTCCCCTAGCAACCTGTCTTCATCCAGCGAGACTGGCTCTGGTGGAGGCACTTACAGGCAAAAATCCATGCCCGAAGGGTAGGTGTGCGCCGCCCCCCTCCCCCCGCCCCCGTGATGTCGCTGTCTCTCATCTGTAACTCAGACAAGCGCCTCAGTCGATCTACAAAGGAGCGAAAGGGAAAATGTGGTTAATATCCCAGATAGAAAAATGTTTTAATGTCTGGTTCAAACCACGTCTCGGGAAGTTTATCATTCTCTAGCCTCCAAGGGCTCCATGGCAGAGAAATCAGGTTACGTTCGTTTCTCCAATTGTATATATGGTCTAGTTTTATAGTACAGACTTTGTTATTCCTCCGAAGCAAATTCCATAGTACTGGCTGGAGTTGGTGTTGCTGTTAAAAGAGGTGAAACAATTATCCGAGCCAAAGCTTAAAATTATTTTTCTCACACTTTCAAAGTCTCTGATTTCAGCTTGTGGGTTTTGTCATTTTTCTTTTCTTTTCTTTTCTTTTTTTGAAAATACCAAACACCCAGAAGTAACTATTTGCTTCTGACAAGACTTAAAAGTAAAAGGCTAAATACAAATACACATGATTTTAGAGGCTACTAAAAAAGAAAAAAACCACCACCACCACCACCAGGATGTCTGAAGCTGGGAAGTAATTAGCAGCAAAACGTGACGTGGCACACACATGCCCCCTTTGCCCAGAGGAAGAGTAAAAGAACCATCAAAGACATCCTGCTGGGCCATCTCTTTGGGGAAGTTGGTAGAGAACTTGAAACCATTTGAAAATCAAATGTGAGGCATTTATAAAAACTGATGTTTCTATTCTGAGTTTTCCCCATGTATATTTTTAACAAATGCACACTTGATTTCGTTACTTTCTTGAGATTTTACTGTGTTACAAAATAGTCACGCTTACTAAGAATACCTTCATAATGGGTATTTTGGTTTATCCTATAGCATTTTTTGGTTTTTACAGCCATTAAGTGTAATTTTTGTTGTTGTTGTTGCTAATATTTATGTTAGCAGGAAGTAGGCAATAAAACCATTGTAAAAATATACTCCCCCCCCCCCCCCCCCCGCATCCCAGTGTCCCCCGGAGGATTCCCCTGGTAGTATATCTAAAATGCACATCTCTTCTTTTAATTACTTTAGTGACAATGAGAAAAAAAATTTAGCTGCTCTTCATGAGTCCCTGCAAAAGGTTTTATGAGTTAACTATTATTATCATACTGTACCACAGGCCCAACTGCTTATTTCTTGGTTTAAGGAGGAGGAAGGCCTGGTTTTAGATTTTAGATTTTAAATGGCCTGGTTTGACTTCAAAAATAAGAATTAACTGCAAATTCAGTGTTAGTACAGCAATAAAACATAAACGAGCTAACAACAACAAAAGCACTGTTTTCTTGTGACCGTGATACACTTGCAATGTGTACCAAAAATGTAAGCTGAAACCCGAGTGTTTCGGTGAATGTCAGAAACATGATTATTGTGCCCATCCTGCACAGTGTTTTTAATGAGGTGGTAATTAACCTGATATGTAACACCAACCCTACTGTAGGTGATACTGAGGGTTTTTCCATTGTTTGTGAGGTTACCCAGTGATTGTTGACCATACCGTGTAACATCTTTTTTTACCTGGGGTGATCTTTGACCAGAAGACAACGATACAGTGTTCTCTGGACCCCAGGCAGTTTTTGCCTGTACCCATGATGTAGGAGACTGTGCACTGTCTGATTCACATGCATTGCCCGTGGGCCGGGTTGTATTCTAAAGTTACCCTTATCAAGAGAAAGATGATCACATCTACTCTACAGCGTAGCCCCGTACATGTAGGTATGTACTGGTTGATGGTGGGGCAGGACGGAACGTGGTTCACTGCAAACTCAGTAATGCTGGACTTTAAGAAGCTCAAAAGCATGGGGTAATAGCAGTAGATGAGAGCAGGACACAGTGGTTGTCCACAAGTGTAATCTGCTGATGCCTTGCCCTCCCTCTGCTTTAGCGGGCCCGCAGTATCTGCCTTGCCAGCTCCCTGGTGCGGGGATGCTCAGACCATCCAGATTGGTTGAGAGGCGAAATTTACCAGGGTGACTAATAATGCTCGTTCCATGCAGGTGGGGGAGAAAGGCACCTGCACAAGTTTGGGATGGCAACAAGAGATAAGTAGAAAGCAACACTGTTGAAAAGACCTAGAGTCTGTTTTACCATCCTTGGAGATTTATCTTCAGGCCACATGCTTGAGGACTTGACGAGTCAGACAAGGGCCAGAGGGAGGGATGGGCTGGGTGAATGAGGAGCTTGGAGATCGTGGCCAGAAGCGTAACTATGGGCGCACAGCCCAAAGACGAAACTGACAGAAGCAGGCAGGCCACTGTAGCTTCCTTCCACACTCTTCCGTGAGGGAGGAAGCTTGTTCCTGAGGACCACTGAGACCAAGAAAGGAAAGTTGTAGAGCAGTTTCCACTCTGTGATGAGGAAAGGTTGTGAGTCGGCTCTGCAGCTGTGGACTGGCTCCGTGAGGCAGAGCCCGTGGTCCCAGAGTGTGCCTCGTGCCGCCGCATGGTACGTGCTTCTCAAGGCAGGATTGAGGGACAGCCTTGCTTTATCGTTCATTTAAAACCAGACAGCCAGAAAAGCATTCAGCTTTAAATCCAGAGGTTTTAAAAGTTGTCTTTGGTTTCCACTGCTACCAAAAAGGAAAAGCAAGATTGAATCCATGTCTAACTTTTATCGCTGTGCCTTTTCAGAGAAGTCTTCCTTTACTGCAAATTTAGAATAAAATCGTAGGGCCAGTTGGAGGACATTCACTGTTCTGAGCTAAACAAAGACCCTACTTAGGGAGGAGATGGCAAAGATCGTAATTAGTGACTTGCCCCCACCACCCATTTTTGTTGTCACTGTTAATGAAAATAAGCATCATTGCATCAAGTAATAAATACATACAAAGATGCAAATAGTTTTAGTCATTTTCTTCCAGATGTTTGGATCAACTTACAGGAAAGGCAGAACTGAAATCCACACACAGTCCACAGAACCACCCTTTTGTTTTTTAAAGAGCACCTTTCACTGCAGTTTTCATAAATCAGGTTTTTTGTTTATCATAATGGGGGTAACTTTGTTTAGGGAGGCTTATGATTGAATTTGTGAACAATTGTCATTGTGCAGAAGTAATTTAGGGAGATGTTAGAGTAGGAGGTTAATGTCACAGCCTTCTCTGCTTTGCAAATGCTTTTGTATAGATTTTTCTCCCCCAATCCATAAAATGGAATTGCCATTTTACAAATAAAGAAATGGAGACAAAACTCGAGTGACTTTGGGTGGGGAGCTAGAACTTGGCTCCAGGCCTTCCTCCTCCTTGTCTCCTGCTCTTTCCAGTACACCACTTGCTGGTTCTCCCCATGCATTTATCAGTCTGTAGCAAATAAGACACCTGTCATAAGCATCGATCAATTCAGGCTCTGATGATTTTTTATCATATTGATTACTCATAAGCTCATTAGTAACCACGCACAAATGTCTAATGTCCACACGAGTCTTTGAATTTTACACTCTGGCCCTTTTTCCTGGGCTCACTCAGTATTTACCTGCCAATATTGCTAATCAAGGCGTATGCTTTAATTAGGCATTTATTATTATTCTACCCAGGGTAAAATAAAACTGGCTCATTAAATAGCTAACTGTTCTTTCCAGAAATAGACATTTGCCTTTATATGCCAGTGTACCTACTTCCAAATTGCCCTTCCCAGAGGCAATTTAAAATTTAGACATCTTGAAAGTGGTCACTCTGTAACGTAAATGATAGCAATCTTTGTCTTTCAGACCTTAGAGCACACGTTCAGAAAATATTGGCTCCAAGAATGAGTGACTCAGTGATTTAGCAGATTACTGGGTTAAGAGAAACCCCTGACATGTTCCATTCGGAAGATAGACATGGAACATGAGGATGGTGAAATCGTTCCTTTGTGTGTGAATGAGAATCTGAGTGTGGCTACACGTGGGTTAGAAAATTGGGTTTTCTTATTCTGTATTTCGTGGGTTAGCTCTAGGCTCATGTCTCCGGCCCTTGTTCACAGTGTATGTACTGAGCATACACTCCTTTCTTGAACGGAGTGTTGTGTGTTGACCGTGACACACACAGTTTCGGCACCCGAGCACACATGCACAAGCATGAGCGGGCATGTGCCTTCATTAGAGTTTAGTCCATTGCCCCCAGGCCTGTCTTCCCCTTCTGGGTGAGGTCCCTGATGTCGTCTTTGCCTTTGTTTGGGGGTAATCGCCACAGGTTTGGAGTAAGCCGCAGATCGCCAGCCTCCATCGACAGGCAGAACACCCAGTCAGATATTGGTGGCAGCGGGAAATCTACACCCAGCTGGCAAAGAAGTGAGGATAGCATTGCTGACCAAATGGGTAAGTAACTAATTCCCACAAGTAGCAAGTTGCTTTTCTACCAGCGTGACGTTGGCCACCTCTTGATGACGTCATGAAAGCGTTCTGTGATAGAATACAGCCCTGGTTAATACACATGAATGAGAATTAAGTCTCAGTTCGATTATGTACGCGTGAGGGCTGCAAATAAGACCTGAGAGAAAAGTCAAGGCATACTAAGTGACCCCCCCCCCCAGTTTAAAAATAGAAAGGGCATAGGAATTCTTTTCATCACCGAGATTAAAATGCTACACTGCCAAACCATATGTGTCCTAAGTATCTCCCTCGGCCCTTGTTTGTTGGTTTGTTGTTGCCTACTGTAAGTGCCCCGAGAGATGCAGTTGCTGTTGGGTCACATCTGTAGTGTGGTTAGGACCTCTCTCCTCCCGCCTGTGCTGTACCCCCCACCCCCCACCACTCTGCTAGAAAGCTCTCAGCTGAGGACATGTCGTAGCAGTATGTAACAGCTGGATGGGAAGGATTCTCATTGGTGAGCCTTCATTTGGATTTCTGGCATAGCCCTTGATCTCTCTATGTGGAACTGCTCCACAGTGACACCGTAACACTAGCTGACACCATAAAATTTTGCCATGAAACAAGACTAAGTCTCAAAGCAGTAGCCTCAGGGATTTAGTGTCAACACTGTTGATGATAGAATCTGGACTGTGGGGTGGGTTCCCCCCCCCTTATCCTATCTCTAGTAGCATTACCACCAGAGTGGGGTAAAAAGAAGGAAACTTCAGGGCTGAAAAAGGTACACTTTTAAGGCAGAGACCCATCTTTTTTTCTTTTTTTGCAAATACATTGTTTTGCTCTGTTTTAATGATTCTTCCCCTGTAAATGTACTAATAACCACACACGTAGAAAGGAGTGGAGACGTATTTAGCTAAGCCAGGAAATGAGGAAGAAGAAATGTAATTCTCAGGTTCGGAAGATCTGCTTTGTTCCAGTAACTTCAGTGAGATGTGCCTCGTTACTGGAGCCATCTGTCATTCCACTCTCATGGCAGCCACCCCCAACACACAAAACCTGAGCATTTTCCGATCTGCTGTTCTGCTCTTGACAGAATGTTTTTAATCCCATATGTTTTGATACTGTTGAGATGGTAACGACACACGTGAAAAGGATCCCTTCTTCAACATGACTTTAGCAGCTTTTTTGGGCTCCTAGCGCAGGCTTCGAGCAGAGCTGTGAGCAGGGTCTTTGTGCAGTGTTCAGAGCCCCACTTCCCACTCATGTGAAGTCACAAAGGTATCTTGGGACTGGAAAGGGTAATTATAAGGTTCATCCTAGACCTAAATTCATTCTTTCACATAAACCTCCCTCCAGTCTTTTTTGCTTTGTATCTTCTCTCATTTGGTGGCATCCCACTCTTAATAGATGAGACTGTGAAATTAATATCAATGAGTCTTTTTAACAAATCTGTTCATCCTTTTAATAAGATATGCCTTTTTTTTTTTTTTTAAGTAAGATACCCCAGAATCTGCCAGAGAAGCCTTTTCACCAGTGGGTGGCCTTTCTCCATCCAAAATCGAAGGCTTCATAGAAAATGTTAAAATAATTTTATATATATACATATATATATATATATTTTTATATTCCACCGTTCCAGAGGAATAACCTTGCTTTCTCTAACTGGCACATCAGATGGCATCTGGGGCTTGGCTGGTATAAGCCATGCTAGGGAGAAATCAAGAAAAATAACTGTTCCGTTCTTATTACTCCGCGTACTAACATTGAGTGTATCAAGGGCCGACCTTTATACATTCAATTTTTAAAGCAATTCGCTAATGACTTTCGGGTCACTGAGTGAAAATGCTGAGGAGATTTTTAGCTGTGAGCCAGACGCACCTGTCTCTGTACATTGCGTGTGACCCACTGGTGCCCCGGTGGAAACACGGAGTTGAGCTTAACTGGCTCACCCATCTCAGCGGATTTCGTTTTTCTGCCTCTGCTTTTGGAGGTGGTTGAGAGTCAGAGTTAGAGGATGTTGCCCAGTCCTTTACGTTCAGGAATGGTGTTGCAGAAGTCCAGAACTGTTGCTGTTAGCTATCGGTGTGTTAAAGAAGCTAAATCGCTTACCTTTTACCTTTGGAACCCCACCTTGAATGCCGGCTTGGAGTCCAAAAGGAAGCAATTGTCTTAAGTAAACTAGTTGCTGTGTGTCTTTTCTGTTGTGCTTAGCTTACAGTTATAGAGGACCTCAGGATTTCAATTCTTTTGTCCTCGAGCAGCATGAATATACAGGTAAAATATTTCCAAAGTGTCCTGGTAAGTAACACGTGATTGCATCCGTGCCTGTCTAGGTAATGTAGACCGAGCTAGGTTAGCCACACTTGGCAATGAATGAATTTCATAAATTGAATCCATATATTCTCAACTTTCCCCAAAACCAAAAGTTGATTCCTAACTTTGCCGCGTTGTTCATGGCCTTTGGTTTGGTGGTACTTGGCTCTGCTACTGTGTATGACGTGACACACTGTCACCAGCTGCAAGCTTTACCCATCAGCCACTTAGTTTCTGACATGCTGTCTATTGTGTAAACTCTCAACAAGCTTATCGCTGAAATTCAGAGTTTGCTGGTCAGTGACCTGAGAGATGCAATGGCAAGCCGTCTTCATCTGTCAGCATGTGCTCGGATCCGTTTAGTGCCTGCCCCATAATGTCCTGTGCTGTATTCCAGAGCCAACGTGCCATCTCCCAGCAGTGTCAAAGGTTCTGCCTGCTTTTCGAGAGAGCCCCAGCGGGAGATTAATGCGGCAGGATCCGGTGGTGCATTTATCTCCAAACAAACAAGGGCATGTAAGTTAACTGTAAAATAATAAAAATTATAAGATTCCTAGCAACGTATCTTCCAGGCGTGCTTTGCTGTTTCTTCCACGTGGTAAGAGAAGAAGTCATCCTGGTGGGAGGTGGGTGTTCACTGCTCTGGCCCTGGAATTTCTATCGCCAGTGGCCCTAAGGTTGCTTTGAAATAAACTCAAATTCCTCCTTGGTATGCACCTGCCACCCCCACAGATCTGGATGGAAGGCCATGTGATGTAGTCCTAAAATGTGGGGAACAGAAATGTGCTAAACGTGAATTTTATTTGCTTACACAATGGCAAGCATGGGCTATGGTTGGAGCATCAGTCCAGGGGACAGACAGCTTCCTGACAACTGCCCTTCCTGCTTCTCTTGTCTTGCGTAGCTACACACATTTTTGTTTTACCATACTTCTACATAATTCCTGATCACTTAATGGGTAGAATTAAGAATGAGAGGTTTTGCTCATGTAGGTTGTGCTCTAGTAAAATGAATATGAAGCTAAAGAAATAGAGTGCATGCCCATGCGTGGCCGAGCACCCTGCACTAGCCTGTGTGGTGAGAGATTTACTGAAGAAATGTGATGTTGTCATAGTTCTACTTGTAAGTGATAAATTACCCAGTCTGTCAATTCCCCTTCCTTCATTAACACCTTTATATTGATGACACTGTAAAATAATATTTTGAATAGATTGGATTAGATTAATTATATTCTTAAAATTAATATCACCTGTTTCTTTTTATTTTTTTAAACGTTGCTACTGTAAAGTTTAAGATTACAAATGTGATTCCTGTTACATTCCTATAGAAATCTGTTACGTATTTTACACTCTCAGCACATCTCAATTTGGACTAGCCACGTTCAAAGTGCTCAGTAGCCACACATGGCGAGAGGCCGCCAAATCCCACAGCACAGATCCAGAGCTAAGGAAGTTCTGCCTGCAAACATTAAAAATAAATGAAGGCCTTGTAGCATAAATGGTGTGGTTGCAGAAAGTGGCACCAGGAAAGTAATGGGTTGATTGGTTCTTGTTTAAGAAGAAATCTTTCACTTTGAAGTGAAATTTTTGTGTCCCCCTCCTGCTCCTTCCCCTACCTTAGCTGCTGAAGAGCAGGTCTCTTCCTCAGGCAACACACACACACACACACACACACACACACATGTGGTTCCTTCTGTTTTCACTCGCTCTCCACCAGGTGTCTGGACTTCCTGTCTCCAGGAATGTAAAAATATCCTGTCTCCATCTAATGTAAAATATTATTCAGATATCTTTTGAAATCTTATTTCTTTGGTAAACTATAGAATGTTCTAAGCAACCAAGCAAGCCACTGTGTGGAAAGGGTTCCATATACATTCTAACTGAGATAATTCACGTACCATAATATTCACCCATTTGAAGTATACAGCTCAGTGGGTTTTAGTAGATACATGGAGTTGTGCGCCCATCACCACAGTCTAACTGCAGAATGCTGTTATCACCCCCAAACAGAAATCCTGTACCCTCAGACAGCCCTTGACCACCACTCATCCACGTTCTACCTCAGTGGATGTGCCTGTTCTGGACATTTCGTATGAATGGAATCATACAGTATGTGGCCTTTTGGGTCTGGCTTCTTTCACTCAGCATAACATTTTTAAGGCACATCTGTGTTATAGTATGTGTATTAGCATTTCGTTTCTTTCTGTGATGGAATAATATTCCATTGAATGGATATACCACATTTTTTAATCCATTCATCAGGTGATGGACATTTGGGTTGTTTCTACATTTTGGCTATTATGAATAATGCTGCTGTAAATATTCGTTCAGGTTTTTCACGAACATGTTTTCCTCTCTCTTGAGTAGATACTAAGAATGGCATTGTAATTGCTTTCCCCCTGCAGTTGTCCCATTTTACATTCCCACCAACAGTGCCAGCCATCATTACTGTCTGCCTCTTTGCTTAGAACCATCCTTGTGTGCGAAGTGTTATCTCATTGTGGTGGTGTTTTGCACTTCTTTAGGGACTGAAGATATTGACCATCTTTTTATGTGTTTCTTGGCCATTTGATACCGTCTTTGGGGAAATGTCGATTCAAATCCTTTGCCCATTTTCTAATTGGGTTTCTTGAAGCACAAAAGTTTTTAGTTTTGATGAAATCCAGTTTATTTTTCTCTCTTTTGTGCTTTTGGTATCATATCCAAGAAACAATTGCATAAATAGGTCATGAAGATATATACTTACGTTTTCTTCTAAGAGTCTGATAGTTTTAGCTCAGGCATTTAGGCCTTTGATCTTTCTGAGTTTATTTTTCTGTATGGTTAAGGATCCAGCTTCATTCTTTTCTTTTGCATGCAGATATCTGGTTGTCCTAGCACCGTAATTTCCCCCCGTTGAATTGACTTGGCACCTCTGCATAAATTTTACCTCTAAGCATTCCTTAGAAAGCTGTCTTCTAAAGAGATGCCAGTTGGGGAAGGAAAAGGAGATCTCTTTAGGAATAAGTCTTATATTCTGCCGTATATTGACTCTGAGTGCTAGGACTTTTAGAATTCAGCACACTTTTTGATTAGGGTAATCTCAATACTATTGATATTTTAGCCTCAGTGAATGAAAAATGCATTCTAAAAAAAACCTGTCTCTAGCACTCTTTGCCGCTAACACTCCAAATGGGTTTTTCCAGGCACCTTCTGTCTTTGGTTATCGTTGGAATTTTTGTGCCGTGAGAACCCCATAACCAGACACATGCCAGGGGGTCCTCCTTCCTAGCGTTCCTGGCGCTTAAGTCAGTCTTGCTTCCCTTGCAGTCCGATAGCCACTACTCGAGCCACTCCAGCAGCAATACCCTCTCCAGCAATGCGTCGAGCGCGCACAGTGACGAGAAGTGGTATGATGGGGACCGCACCGAATCCGAACTCAACAGCTACAACTACCTGCAGGGCACGTCCGCCGACAGCGGCATCGACACCACCTCCTACGGCCCCAGCCACGGCAGCACGGCCTCCCTGGGGGCCGCCACGTCGTCACCTCGCTCGGGGCCGGGCAAGGAGAAGGTGGCGCCCCTGTGGCACAGCTCCAGCGAGGTGCTCTCCATGGCAGATCGGACTTTAGAGACCGAGAGCCTCGGCATGGACCGGAAGGCAGAATCCTCCCTGAGCTTGGATATCCACAGCAAGAGCCCGGCCGGCTCAAACCCCCTGACCAGGGAGAACAGCACTTTCAGTATAAATGACGCTGCTTCCCACACAAGGTAACTGCCGCCTCTGCCGTGCCCAGCCCGGTCCCGAACCAAGTGGCCACCCTCATCCCACTTTCCTGCGCTCACCATTATACAAAGCAGGGGTTTCCATGCAGCGACTGCTCTTTTTACGTACGCCTTGTACCTGCCGCCAGAGTACTTGATTCCTACAACCCTAATGCATTATTTTAAACTGCAGGTAGGAAGTAGAAAAGTCCACAGATTTAGCCTTCATGAAGTTGTGTTTGGTTATTTTATAAAAACTTTCTTCTGTGCCAGAATCAGAGAAGAATCTTAGAATTCTGGCTTTCAGGTAGTGATAGAGAATGAAACAGTCTTTTGAAGGCACTGAAAGAAAATCTTGAGCATTTTTTTTTAAAAGAAAGGGGTCTCTTCTAAGACTAATGTGGCATTTGTTTATGATGCCGGACACATCCTCCACACTGCCTCCCTGTCAGAGAACATCACTTAGCCAGTGTTTGCATGGTAATTCTTTTTCAGGAATTGCCTCCTGATAGTTGGCAATGGGTTGATTTGGGGAGCGGGGGTGTCCAGTAGAAAAGTGTAGCTAAAATTAGACATCCCATCTACCTTTCCGAATAGGAAAGAACACATTCTCTTGCATCCTTGGAGATCTCTCTGATAGGCAAAATAAATACCATTTTCCATTTCCTCTTTTGGATTTGAGCCAAAAATCCAAAGAATGACAGGATTCTTCCTTTTTAAGGAGGAAATATTCCACCACTACCTTTTTGGGCCCACTGATGCCTGTGGTGGTTTCTCCTTTTACTTGTTATTGTTGTCAGTCATTGATGAGTTTGCATGACAGCCCCTAACCTTGCTGTCTTCTGGGCTTCCTTTATTATTATGCCTTAAGGAAAAGTAGCAGAAAAACTGAATTTAGTTTTACTTTTCTGATGGGAATCTAGGCACATAATCTGTCAGTAAACCCCAGATAGTCTAAATGACAGAGGATGTTCTGTGTAATTTGGATTTGTTTAACTTGATCAGTTAAATACTCCATTCTCTCATTGTGCCTGTATTGTTACTGATGAGATTCTTGAGCTTCCCATCTGAAAACACCAGGTCGACGTTTGAAGCATTTCACAAGTTTTATTTCTGTTTACCACTTCCACATTGCCTGTCTAGAAACCAAATGACCCTCAAGCAGAAAGGCAATTGGGAAAGTCATCTCGGTATTCTTGAGTACCAGGCATCCGATTACCTTTCCACAATTCAGAAAATAGAATGTTTGATTCAGATAGGTTAAGGATGTTTTGGGGAGAGTAGAACAGAAAGCTGAACATCAAATACCATAATGATGTAATGTAGACCTTGAGTCACATGACAAAGAATTATGCCAATCACTTGCTGTTTGGGGCATGCCCCACCATCTCATCAGCTAATCCTGTGCCCTGAGTCAGACTGTTTTTCATTTCCGAATAGTTTCTGTGTGGTTTCTAGGCTTAGCTCGACTGCTGTCTTTTTGGTGTTCAGTTATTTTGAAAGGAGGCTATCTTTTTAAGAATGATATTCCAGGGGCGCCTGGGTGGCTCAGTCGGTTAAGCGTCTGCCTTTGGCTCATGTCCTGATCTCAGGGTCCCGGGACTGAGTCCCACATCGGGCTCCCTGCTCAGTAGGGAGTCTGCTTCTTCCTCCTCTGCCTCCTCCTGGCTTGTGCGCGCATGCACGCTCTCTCTCTCTCTCTCGCTCACTCTCTCAAATAAAATCTTTAAAAAATGATATTCCGTTTGGAGATATATATGTCTGGTCTAACTTGATGACAGAAGAAAGTCAAGTTATGGAGGTCCTGTCTGGAGTAGCATCCCCATGGAGTAAGGTTGAAAAGAGCTGGGCCTCTGAAGCCAGAGCACAAGCTGTCAGCTGTGCCATCTAACAGATCCCAGGGCTACAAATCTCCCCCCGTGAAAAGTAGGCGCCTGGGCTTGCATTATCTGAATGTGCTGACTGGGGCCTCCTAAAGGCCTCAAAGGATTATCTGAATTTTCTGCTTCAAACTGACCATGCAGAAATCATTTAAATCATCATTTGGAAATAACTCTTCTGTTGAAAGTCAAACTTTGTAGAGAAGAGAAGAATGTGGCCTTTCAAGGAGGGTGGCAGGGCTTCCCACCCGTTGGTAGGTTGAGTCACATTCATTTCTAGACTCTGGTAAGCAGGGATGCTTTGTGACTTCAGTCTGTTGATCTTGGCAGAGTGAGCTGGATAATCAGAGCTTTAGCAGACTTCCTTCTCTAGAGGAAAGAGGGACTTAGCCACCAAATGCACAGTGCTGGAGAAACTAAAATCACTGCAAATTAGAGTGTGTGTGTGTCCTCAGAAGACAGGAATAGCAATTAATGTGGAGATCTCTTGACAGTGCATTAAAAAGCTCGTACCTGGGACTTGGTGACAAAATCTAAATTACAGTGATTAAGTTCCACCGCGTATTTCTGGCTGGGCTGTGTTCCTACCCCTCTGTCCTCCAGTCTCCCTGTTGATGATTGTGCGGGTTTTTTGTGGCACCCCAGGAGAACTGCATTAATGTAAGTTGGTAATTACACAGGGTTGTTCTATTCACATATCATTAAGAGAAGCCATATACACTGATAACTTCCTAAAAAGTCTGTTAGTGGCTCTGAAGTGTTGCTTCCTAGAATATATATGTATTTTCTATGAAGTTTGGAAATTTAGGGAGAGATTTTTATTTATTTTTTTGCAGTGGCTGTTTCACTTTCAGGTCTTAAACCACTCGCCCCCCCCCCCCCCCAAAAAAAATGGTTTATGGTGACCACAGGAGAGATGAAGACCATTCCAGTTTTAAAACACTCTTACCAGGGACGCTGGGAGTGGCTCAGTCAGTTAAGTGCCAGACTATAGATCTCAGCCTCGGTTTTGATCTCAGGGTCGTGGGTGCAAGCCCCACGTTGGGCTTCATGCCCAGCATGGAGCCTGCTTTAAAAAATATATAAATAAAGAAATAAAAATAAAAGACTCTTACCAGCTGGTCTCTTTTTAGAGTTCTGGCCTGGGCAGTAGGCAGTGCTGGTTTGTGTGGTGACCAAAGACCCCCTTAGTTAGCATACAGTGCTCTCGTCCCGCGTAACCAGTGGTATTGCTGACCTCAGAACTAGATTCAGGAGCACGTGTTATAAAGCTGAAAACCCCACTCATAGTTGCAAATACACGTTTCTTCTGTAATGTCCTGACCTGACCTGTTCGGGGGTCCAGGCTTCCACAACCACCCTCATTTGCCAGCCATTCTGCTGCTTCCTCCTGATGTCTGTAGGCCCCCCCAGAGCTCTGCAGCCAAGGCGTTCCCACCCATGTGATGATGTACTTTTCCCCTGACGTCTTGTACTAGAGGATTTCTCACCCATTGTTCATCCTGAGCACCTCTGTGGATCGTGTGCCACCATGAGCATAGTGGGAAGGTGCTCAGGACATTGTGGTCATCAAGTAGGAATAACTTGCTCCTTGAAGTTCCCACTTTTTGCCTGATGACTCCTCAGGGCTCCCACCAATAATCCAATTCAAAAGTAACAAATTCTCCGCTCCTGGCTACTACTGTATTTCAAAGCCTATTGTGTAGAACGGTCCATACAGAGCTGTAGTGTTTTTATGAATAGGTATATATATAAGAGTATACAGAAGTCCCGGTATAACTTGAACGTTTAGTAAAGTCATCTCTATGTAAGATTTGTTTCATCTGCAAAATACAACTGGGGAGGACTTTTTAATAGCTTACATGCAAGTATCAATCAGTATCTGGCTGTAAGTTGGTCAGTGTCTGACATTCACTGAAAGGGCTGATTTAAGTCCAGGAAAAATGCCTGCCCGTGGTCATCAGTACAGTTCAATTTCATGAATGTGCTTTTTCTGGTTGACTTACTAAGTTCACTGTTCATGCCAGAAAAGCTGTATGTTTCTTGAGAGTAGAGGTAAAGAAGGACTTCTTAGATGGCGTTTACTTCGAACATCACGACGTGCCCCGGGCTACGGAGCGCACTGAGCTGTCTGTGTGCTCCTCTGTGCACGTTAGAGCTGTGTGTTTACATGTCATTCTCTGCCCTCTTCGGCATCTTGTGTATATGAGAAATATGCCGCCTTTGTTTAGAAATTATTCTGCTGTCTTTATCTGTAACGTTTCTCTCTCAAATATCTCCTGCCTGGAATTTTTTTTTAATTGCTAACAATTAATTAATTGCCCCTATCTATACTTTTTTCTTAAGGTGAGAATATTATTTTTTCTAAGTTGTATAGGCTAATTCAGAACTTGAACATGCAGCCTCTGAAATGATAAACCCAGAACTTCTCTTCAACATGTTATTGGCTCTGCTTGTCTTAAGTTTGTGGGTCATTTTCATTGGTCATTTCCTCTTTGTGGTCTGAATATTCAGGATTATATGGTATTTTGCTTTTATATAGCAGAACTCCAGGTGATCTGTGCTAAGCTAATTTCTTTCAGTTTATGGGAGTGGGTGATGATTTTATCCAGAGTGTAGTGCTGTTTGGCTAACCTCAAAGACTGAGAAACAAACCACTGTGGTTGAAATTTCAAGTGAACGCTGAGAAAATGAGGCCTTTGTCAAGCCATGGGTGTCAGAGTGCTTGATGTGGCCCTCACTGCCACAACATTTATCACTGCTCTCTTCTGTGATGCGGCTGACTCATTCATCCAGTCAATAGGGAAAGCCCAAATTCTCCAAATGCCATTAAATCATAAGGCCAAAAGGAATTCTAAGGAACGCAGTCTGTCCATCCCTTGTCCTATTAAAAAGGACCTACCAAGGTCCTACCAAGAGGAGAACTTCTCCAACTGCCTCAGAAGTGGGGAGAGGGGAGACAATCCCAAAAAGAGTGAGTCCATGTCCTTTCTGAGCAATTCCCGTGCTTATCATGTCCTCTCCCTCTTCAAAACTTCATCCCGTGTCTGCCTATCTGAAATTTCTCTCACTGCAGCTGAAATGCACAATTAAGAGAGAATAAGTGGTTTCTCTGAGCTGAGTTTT